CATCATATCATTTTCTATTTCAGAAATAGCACTTTAGGGGCAGGGGAGATGGCTCAGTGGAATAAGCGCTTCCCTGGCAAGCGCAAGGGCCTGAGTTCAATCCTTGGTTCTGAAAAAAAAAAAAAAAAAAACAACAACAAAGAAATAGCACTTTATTTTAATTTATCTGAAAATATTTGTGAAACTTAATAATAGGTAGTTATATCACTACTATCAGAGGTACTATATATAAAGTCTATTCTTCAGGGATATCTTGTGCATGTCAGAGATTCTTAGTTTGTGTCTGTCCTGAGATCCTGACTTCCCTCCCTATTGATTGAGAGTGTAATATTGGTTTCCATTTGGCACTGTCTTCCATACCATAAAAGCGAAGACTATAGTTATATAACAAAGCATAATATAAATTGAGAATTTGTATGAAAACTACTTCCTCTGAATTCTGTACAGGCAGCTTTATACCACATACCTGGGAGTTCTCTAGTTAGGCCAGTTCTTTTGAGTTCTGCCAAACTTCTTCTACAAGTCTGAGGTTCATACATTTTTAACAGGCCCACTTTAACCATATTCTGAAATTGTGATAAACAGTTTGGAAGCAACATATAATGCAATATTCTTTACTACTACTAAATGTAGATATACATTTCATTATTATGTTATTTTCAAATTTAAGCATCTTTATATATCTGCATAAAGTTATTTCTCTCCATCTTTTTCTCTTTAATGTGTATTCTCAGGGCCAGTTAGATAACTCAATGGATTAAAGCATCTGCTTAGGCAGACATAGGGACTGGGGTTTGATCTCCCACATGGGCCTGACCCTGGGGGCACGCTGAGATTGCGACTGAGATTGGGTGTGGTGGTATGCACCTATAATCTTAGTAATTGGGAGGCTGAAAACAGGAGGCTCACAAGGAGTCCTATCTGTGTAATGAGACCCAGTAGACTCTGTACTAAATACATAAAAAGCATTCCTTCCCTGTTATAAAATGCCACATGTTAATTTATATAAATTCTGTAGATCAGTGATTCTCAACTGTGAGGCGTCTTTATCAAATACAAAAAGAAATTCATTGTTAACCATATAAATAGCATCGGACTTTATACCTATATTAATAAATAGAATATAAATAATTTTATGCAGATTTAAGGATATTTGCATAATAGTACTACTTTCATTTATCAGTATTTTGACATAAATAGATCAGATTAATTAAATGGGGAAGTTTAAAATTTAATGAAAGCAGGAGCTGGGGAGATGAATCGGTGGAATAAGCATTACCCTGGCAAGAGCAAGAGCCTGAGTTCAATAACCGGTTCCACCAAAATAATAAAAAAATAAAAAATAAATAAATAAAAAATAATGAAAGAAATCTATACAGTGAAAAAAACAAGTAGTTTGCTTACTGTATTATTTATACCATGGTCTATAATAACTAGCTGTTACTAACATACATCTGAAGCAATTTTTTACAAAGGAGGTAGAATCAAAATCATTTATGTACAAGAGCTAACATAAAAAATAATTAATTCACAGGGCCAGCCAAATAGCTAGGTGGATTAAAGCGCCTGCAAGCAGATGCAGAGGCCAAGGGCTCAATCCTCTGGCCTGCTGTTCCGTCCCGCCCCCAGGGCATGCTGAGATAGCAATTGAGACTGGGTGTGATGGTGCGCATCTGTAATCCCAGCTCTTGGGAGGCTGTAAACAGGCGGATCACTATGTGTCTGACCTAATAGTGAGACCCTGAACACCCTGTAGACCCTTTCTTAAAAAATGCAGAAAGAAAAAATAAGTTCTTCTCCCTCAAAACTCCTTCATTAGTCAACAATGTGGAATATGTACTACACCACAAACAGCTCTTCATGAAGTGCAGTAAAGTCAGGTTTTGTTTTATAGTAAGAAAGAGATTTTTGGTTCTTCTGTGTGTGTGTGTGTGTGTGTGTGTGTGTGTGTGTGTGTGTGTGAGTTCTGCCCAACTGCCTCCACAAATCTGAGGTTCACAAGTTTTTAGCAGGCCCACTTCATCCATATTCTGAAATTGTGTGTGTATGTGCACTTGTGTGTACATAATTAATTACATGAATCATGTTTAATCCAATGAGAGTCTTGCAGTAAGAATAGGAAGGGACAGAGTACAAAGTGCATGCTGGTAGTAAATGAGTCGTTTGTGAATGGGGAATGTAAAATCAGCCAGGTTTGCTCTGCAATCTACACAGGCAAAATTTTACATTCTAGTCTATATCGCTGTCTTCATCTATAGCCTGTGTCTGTGTCACATTACTTTAACATAGACTAGGGAAATTACAGAGGAAAATTATTCTGGCTTATAGTTCTGGTACAGGTTGAGGAGCCACACCTGGTTTTTGCCCTGCTGGCAGAGTCTCCAAGCTACAAAGTGCTTCACATGGCAAGGGGCAGCAAAAGCAAGAAAGATGGGACACCTGACATCTTGTCACACAGGTTACCAGAATAGACTCTTAATATTAACCCATTAATCCACTCTTGGAAGCAGAGTTTCACCTTGTCTTACTTCTTAAAATTTCACAATGGGAATTACAAACCAATGTGACTTGCTGAGTTGACAAACAATATTCAATCCTATTGAAAATATACTTCTGTTTTGCTTTCTTTTCCTCTTTGGTTTTACAGAATGGATAGTTATATTAGCATACGTTCATGGCTCATGCAATTTAAATGCTTTGTATGAGCTATGGCATTGATTGCAAATTATTAGTCTAAATTCACAGGCAAAAATGTCTTTGTGTTTTCCTAATATGTGACTGAGTCCATGGAAACATGCAAGCCTGTGAACTTTACCCTTCTCTGAGCAGCTGCAGGGGAAAAGAGCAGGACTGCTAACACTGCAGGGAGTTATCGGGGACATGGGTGTTGAGCTTCTTGAGAGACATTTTTTCCTGCAACAGACATTTTTGTAGGAAAATAAGACATTTGTGGAAGGATTTGGAGAGTTTCTGAATGTAGCCTAATCCATACTGTTTGTTGTTTTCCAGAGCCTCTGTGTCAGAACATAGATAATATATGTGCGTGTGGATATATATATGTGTACCTACGCACACATGTGAAATTGTATGAAAATACCATCAACTGAACTGTTTAAAAACTGTACAGTTTATAATTTTAAAAACCCTATATGACTGTCTTATATAAATGTCTAAACTCTCAGACTTTAGATACATATTATAGTTTCTTTTCTTTTCTTTTCTTTTCTTTTCTTTTCTTTTCTTTTCTTTTCTTTTCTTTCTTTCTTTCTTCTTTCTTTCTTTCTTTCTTCTTTCTTTCTTTCTTTCTTTCTTTCTTTCTTTCTTTCTTTCTTTCTTTCTTTCTTTCTTTCTTTCTTTCTTTCTGCAGA